GTTGACTTACTAAGTAGTAGATGTTAAGGATAGTAACGTAGATCGAATCGTATTGTTAAAAAGAGTGTGTTATCGTAGTTTCATCGACGGGCTTCCACGAAGGCCGATCCTGTTCACTTACGGACACAAACCATTACATGCGTGTGCAATAGCACGGTAGCCTTCATTTGACAGAATACGGTAGAAGTGAGTACTTTTGGTTCCAAATTCATTGCTTTGAAGTCATGCATTGAAGCGATCACGCATTTGAGATTCAAATTGAGGATGTTTGAAATACCTTTGGAAGAAGGACCATTGCAAGTATTCTGCGACAACGAGAGCGTGGTGACAAATTCAACAATGATTGAATCCACTTTGAACAAGAAGCATAGTTCAATTGCTTATCATTACACCAGGTGGAATGTGGCTGCAGGAGTTGTCGACATATTGTGGATTACAGGAATGTTGAACCTCGCTGATGCCTTCACAAAACAATTGACACTAGAAAGGAGAGGGCAACTATTTGGGGAATGGACGTACTAGACGAGTTATCAAACTGGATCCCAATGTTGGAACCCAATTTGAGGGGACCAAATGAAGGCTACCGTGCTATTGCACACGCATGCAATGGTTTGTGTCCGTAAGTGAATGGGATAGGCCTTCGCGGAAGCCTGTCGATGAAATGTCAATAACAACACTCTTTTTAAGAATACAATTTGATCTACATTACTATCTTTAACATCTACTACTTTGTAAGTCAACACCCTTGTAATAACATAACGATTACATTTATATGATGTAATATCCAATAAGAGCAACTTCCTTGGGATTGGATGCCTCAAACTGGTTCAACCATTATATTGAGTAGCGAGGTACAAGAGATTTGGGACAAAAACGAGTACGATGACAAACATGGGGATTTTACAAGATGTGTGCAAATCTCTAGGTTAAACTATATACGTACAAATGACGGACACTCTCTGGTCCAATTAACGGTCCCCTCAAGGTGATACTGATGTATCAGAGAACCTTGTACTCCGAATTGGGCTAATATCAACCGTACCCCCTCTTGGGAAGACGTATCATCCAATACTGTCCAAGACTGACAATATCCGGCAACGGATGAAGACGTTTCCAAAAATTTAAATCAGAAGAGCAAGTTTTCCATTTTGCTTTGCTTTCCACATGATGTGTTCAATAAGACAATCACGAACAGGTCCAAGTTGGATCTTGGTTAAAAAATCGGCCAAGTTCTCAGCAGAAATGATCCATTCAATTCGTAGGATATCAATTGCGCATCTGGAGCAAACGTAGTGATATGCAACAGCATTCGATTTCTTTTCCATATGTGATTGTATCGTCACTTGAGCTCATTGTAGTTGTGCCATCAAAGTGAATACTTTGGTTAGCTCTGCTACAAGCACATTGGTGGTATAGGCCTGGAGACCGCTCAATGATACTATCAGCTTGGCGATTTGGTGCCATGGCGTGGGCTGCATCTATGCTTCCCAGCAAGTAATAAGCTGCAGATTTGCCGGGCCCTGGTTTGGTGACTAGCACTAGATGTAGATACAAAGTTGGATGGCACCAATACTGTAATATCTATAGTAGTTATCGTAGCTGGTTGAGTTGAGTCTTCCAAGTAGTGTTCCAAGTTCTTTTGGATGACTAGCTTGGGCAACCATGCAAAGTAGCTGCGAAGGCGCTCCCAATCGCATTCACGAGACTTCACAGCCGAGCTTGGGTTCTTCAGTTCAACCTCAGTTGGTTGTAACCCATGCTCAAAACTGTTGCAAGGTGGTGGACCATTTCTCCCATCAGGCTTTCGAGTATCATCATCAAAGCGCGCCTCTTGGGCTGAGGATTGCTGGTGAGATTGATACAACACCAGCTCAAAGCGCGCCTCTTGAGTTGAGGGTTGCTTGTGAGACTGATAGATCTCAAGCTCTGGCAGTGCAACTTGAGTTGCACTGGTGCGATCCAGGTTGATAGGATCTCTTCCATGCTACGTTCAAGTCTAGCTAGTTCAGAAGTTGGTGGACAATGGACATCATGGAGTCCATCTATTGGATTCGCATAGGCAAAGGATTGAAAGAGGTTGATTGCACTATCTAAAGTAGAATGTCCGTTCATAGTAGTAAAGGGTAGGGCTCTATTACAATTATGACTGTCTACTTGGTTGAAGGCCGGCTTAGCTTCTCCAGTTCCAATAGCCATTGAGTCCAATCCGTTTTGGTCATGATCAGTACAATGCTTAGGAATGAGCGTGGCATTTGGAATGTTAGCGGTGCTCAATCCATGATTGATCAGATCAAAGTCGAGTGGCTCAAGGAAGTCAAGAGTACAGTCTAGAGTGTCTTCAAGGATGTCAAGAGTACAAACTAAAATAGATTCGTTAGTGACTATCTCATCTATTGTTTGGTCGGACTCTCTATCTGACTTGTTTCCACCATGTCCAGGAGAAAGAGCACTAGTAGCATCATCTCTCCCCATGCTCGTGTCCGGAAACTGTTGAAGCAAGTTATCTTCCAGTACAAAGTGAGTAAAGAAAGCAACAGCGTCCTCTAGAGTAGACTTCTTTATATTAGCTAGGGTTTGACTGTTACTCTCGCGGGCAGTCAGAGTATCATCGAAATGTACTCTTGGCGATGGAGGACAACCCAGCTCCCCATGAGGTGTCTTCCTAGCCTTATGGCGTGGGCTGCACCTCAGAATCGGTTTGTCTGAATCGAGTCTGAGGTCCTTGAAAGAATTGGCATCCAAAGGAGCTGACTCGATATTGTAGTTGACTGGTTGTCCTGGGTCAAACAGTACTGAAGGACGCTTACAAGCCTCATAGACCTCGAAACACTCAGGGATGGGTGAATCTTCTGGTGCTGCATCGAGGCCAAATAGATCAGCCATGTTACAGTCAAACCAGGTAAGGTCTTCAGATGTTCGATGGCACTGCTCGTACAGTCCATCAGTTGGAAGAACACAATTGAAATTCTCAAAATAATCAATAGTTCCATCTAGTTTAGGTTCCTTGAAAGAAGTAAGAGCTTTATGATTCTTAAGGACTCCTACAAGATCAAACGGACGTTCTTCATCTTCAGAATTGTAGTCGGGAACGGACTTTGCCCATTCTTCCATATCCTTGATCAAATGATCCAGTACACTTGGATGCCAATCAGCGTCAGAGGTGAGTACGACATGTGGAATGTCAGGACTACTCAGCTCACCATCTTTTGGTGGTCGCATTTGTAGGTATGGAAGGCCATTCCTGATGTCAAGTGGTAAGACGAAGCCATCTGGTGTTGTCAAGCGTTGCTGACCACCAGCTTTGGTAGACTTGTCGTCCACGACAATCTTGAAGTGTTCCATTTGACCACTGGACAGAATGGATTGACCCTTTCCAATGTAGGCTTGTTGGTGTATGATGGCATTGGCAGGTCCACGTTGGGTGTAGATTAATCCAGCCGAAGTGAGGATAGGGATATCAGTTACTTGGTGGTTGTCAATGCTTTGTACGTCAACAGTACGATTGGATTTGTGGATGATGCGGACATCATCTCCAGCAATGCCGCCATTGGCACCTCTATCAATCAAAGCTAGGTGTTTACAAGTGTTGACTTTGTGGATAGAATAGATCATAGTATGGTTATTAACCGATCTAAATTTTTCTCCATTGAATGTTAACTTGTGTTGCTTGGCTTCTTGTGGAGGTGTAGGCGGAGGATGCTTGGTAGTCGGTACGATGGCCAACTTATCAGACATGACACACTGTTGCTCCCCATTCTCCAAATCCATTGAGTACTCCTCAGTCTTATCTTGTTCAGGAAGAAGAGCATCAGAATCACTCCCCATGCTCGCTTCCGGCAACTGAAGGAGCAAGTCATGGCTAGTGCTGTTGGCAGAGACACTACGGCCAAGATCGCCAATGTCTGGGTCCGATAAAGTTTGGTCCCAGTCAAGGTTGGAGACAAGTGTGGCATTATCAATGCCATTGTCATTCAGGTCCATAGCAGTGGTGAAATCATCTGGTTGGTCAAGAGTCTCATCTTCAGAGGCTTCATTCAGAGTTAAAATAGTTTTTACTACTCTTTAGGATGCCTACTCTATCAAATGGTCTCTCACCTTTCACTGGTTTGTCCAGCCTGTCAATGTTGGGATCCAATAGAGTTTGGTCCCATTCAAGGTTGGGGTCGAATCTGACATCATGTGCAATGTAACCCTTGTTCAGTGTCGGTCTACTCATGGTGCTTTGTGCGCCAACAAGTTGCGTGGCACGTCTACCATTGGGTATATTGACACTGTCAGACGTGCAAATGCTAGGTTGTAGAGCAGCAGAAAGGATAGATGTAGGACTAGTAGTGTCACTATACTGATTACTGGTCACGTCTACTGTAGCTTGGCGGTCTGATTCGTCGCTCATTGGCCATTGTAGCTCCCCATGTTTGGGTGCAAATTCATTGCGTATGGTGGCTAGATGGCTGTCTGGGTTCGTCTCCATCTGTGTTGGAAGGAGAGGATCAGGGGACGAGTCAATAGGTTTGCCATGATCAGGCTTGGAGACAAGAGGTTGTGGTAAAAGGGACTTATTAAAAACTATAAAGTCACCACTACATTGATAATTGAAGAACGCTTGTACGTCAATGTTCATGCAATTGATCAGGGTGATCGGATTGCCATGGACGTTTTGACAAAGGTAAGCATACCCAAGTAAAGCCCGAAGAGTGCCACGATGGGGCCGCTCAAGCTGAGTAAGCTGAGTTTGGCCAGTATCCACCCCATATTGGTCAATGATGGGTGCATCGTACTTCAATGCAAGGAGCTCATTCTTGTTGTAGGAGAGGAGGTGCATGAAGTGCAAGCATCCATCGCGACAAAGAGCACGCATGAGTGGGCTGTCTAGGGGCTCTCGAAAGAGGGTTGTGACAGCAAACTCAAGGCTTGCAAGGGTACGACCAGGTGGCGCGGTAGCATTGGCGGGCGTACCGGCAGTATTGCCAACAGTTGAAGTAGCAGGGCTGACAGGTTGGTTGGCAGCACCGGCAGGAGGAGCGGGTGTAGAGTTCATACCGCTCCGAGTAGTTGGCATTTCTGGTTTGTTGTTGTGGGGTGGAAAAGTAGGGGAAGAGTCCTCTCACGAGAGCGAAGACTCTAGGGACGATGCCTGTCCCAAAACTTCTTAGGTGCAAAGGTCGGTCGAGTAAATCCCTAACGAAAAGGGCTCGAGGAATTGACGTTCCGTACTAGTGGATACCCTACGGTCACACTAGTCCCAAGGATTGCTGGCAGGCTTTCCTGGTTTTCTTGAACGTCTTGCAGGTCAGAACAGAAGCGAAGGTCCCAACGAATTGGAACAAGGAGTGGTCTCTTTTCTATAGACTTTTAAACTCCCTTGACCTTCTTAAATCCGTTTACCGCCGTATTCAACAATCAGCAAAATGACCGACCGAAGTTGGTCGATTGCAGATGTGAATACAGAGACTTGTCTTCTGAGTCTGTAAGAGACTGGCTGCAGAAGACTACAAGAGGCTGGAAAAACCCCTCGACCTTTACGGATATAGGCGTCCCGGTGCTCCAACGATCAACAAGTGCCCGGTCGAAAACTGGCTGGTTGTCAAGTAGAAAAAGGAAAAAACAGCACGCCGAAAGTCTTTGTGCACGCAACGACGATCAACTCCGGGGGTGCTGGGAAGGACTGCGGGAAGTTGTACTCACGAATGTACAAAATCCAGAACAAGTTTCAGTCAATTTAAAATAAAACCGATCTGTGTGCCGCTGTCTGTTATTAGGGACGAGAACCACCTCGTTTAATTGCAGTACAGCCGGGCAATGAACCTCACGAGCTGTCTTTGTGGTGGATTTCTCAACACCGGAAGCAAAAGACGACAAGTGGGGGAAGCACGGGTTCGGCGGATGCCCAGCGCTTAACTCCCTTCGGCTTCCAATAGGGCTGGAACACCGAAATATAGAACCACCGAAATATAGAACCACCGAAATAAAATAGGAACCAATACCCTTTTGTGCCGTTGGGTCTTCGCGTAGTCGTCAACAGTGATGGTTATGGTGATCCAAATAAAGTTTAGTCGACTTTGAAACGCGGCAGCTATAAAACCTTTGAGATTGATAAACCAGAGGAAAGAGGTAAACTCTGGTCGTCGACTGTAGGTGTCGGAAAGGACTGGGCCAGATCGCAAGTTTGGGTGTTGCGGTGGGCCGAAATGCCGATGAAGTGGCAAAAGCTTGTAAATGTGCTTCTGGAGGAAGCAGAGGTCGTTTTTCTGTGGGAAAAACGGCGGCAGTTAGCTGATGGTGCGTAACTGCGACTGTTAATCTGACAGAATATAATTATTCTTGGGGAACGCTCGAAGTTACACTAGAAGAAAAGATATTCAATTCAAGGTAAACAAAACACGACGCGATGAGTCGATCGGGAATTGACAAACGGTTGATGCGCTTGGTGCGCAAAGTTCCAACTGTTCTCATCTGACGACACGTCATCATATCTATTTTACTATTAATTACTATAAGACCCATAAGACTGCTAACGTAAGAATCGTATTGGTCAGAGTCATGAAACCCGTTCTTGATACAATTCTGTCAAGGACGACGCCAAACATCCATATCTCCGCGACATGGTTGGAACTCCAATTGTTCCTTCAAAACGTCTGCACAGAGGCTCCTCCATGCGAATCCCGAACTTTTGAGCCCGTAAACGGCCTTAACCAGGATAGCTTTCTTCCCGGCATATTCTCCAAACTCCTTCCCTAAAATACAATAAACTTTCTCGGCACATTTGGCATTCAGATATGCACCTGAGACGTCAGCACTCAAAGCATTCAAACCATTCAAAGCAGCAATAACAAAAGCAAGTCGAATACTTTCCCTTGCCACAACACTTGCATAGGTGACAGACATTGGAGGGTCAGTCTGGTCCCCTCTAGCACATATGCGTGCCTTCCGCATGAGATCCATCTTGACATCAAAGACAGTCATAAGCTCAATGAGCTGATATCCAACGGGAACATCTTCATCTTCTTCCAGAATCTTCAAAGCTGGCAGAATTGTCTTGACCTCTTTGATCAAAGCATCATTCCAATGAGAGGTACCATTCTCAGCATCAAGTTCATACGCACATGCAACACCTTTCGGCCCAGGACCAGGCACTTCAATACCAAACTTTTCTGGTTTCTGCCTTTTCACAGCATGGCGCTTAACAGCTTTCAAAACTCGATCACGCTTTCTCAGAGTGTAGGGAACCCACCATGCAAAGGCAGGCTCTGACACAAGCTCAGCATCATCGACAGTCTTATTGTCAAATTCGCTGTTGTCACCGGTCTCATCTGAGTCCCACCCGTCGGGCTGGGCGTACCTGTTAACCAAGCCATTATCGTTGTCACCGATTGGAGCATCTTCTTCCTCGGAATCTTCATACTCCGGATCGAAAATCTTTCTGACACCCTTGTGGATTTCAACTTTGTCAACTGCGTCGTTCGGAAAACCCGCGATGACTTTAGTCTTCATTTCCTGTATGCATCTTACAGGAGTCACCTCTAGAAATTCGTCAAACATCATAGTCCAAGGATGATCAAACATGGTAGCACAGATCAACCAAAATTGTACCAAAGGTGTCTCTTGTTGTAAGCGAGGATTATACTCGTCACGACAGAAGTACAAGTCATCATGTTGAATTGTCGAGTCATCCAAAAGACCAATATCAAAAAAGGAGAAAGGAATTTGTTGGGCGACCTGTAGAGCAATCGCTCTCACTCCCCAGATATATTCCGTGTTCTTGTTGTCATCCTCAAAAATCGAAATAAAAAAGGCCAGAACGCGTTGCCAGTCGTTATCGTATTTGTCGAAGATCATATTAACCCGGACTTCGACCGAGAACTTAGCATAGAAGTCCTGGAAAGGGCTATCGAACCTGGGAAGGGCTTGAGACCAGCGGGCATTGTGGTCGTCGATCCATTTTGTAAAAACGTGATTGCCAAACTCTATCTGAGTAGAGTTCTTGTCATAGCCGATAGCGACTAAATCTTGAGTGGAGAGCCCAAAGTCAATCAGTGGGCGCAATGTGTCAATCACTTCTTGGGTTCCGGAATCGTTGGAGATCTTGGGATCTCTGTCTTTAGGTTGACGTAAATCAACAGAGGATGCATTTTCCAATTGTTTCTTTCCGCTCTTTTTGGAGGTAGAACCCGACTTAGATTTTGATCCGCCTGCCTTCTTAGCAGCCGTTGAAACAACCTTCAGAGATGTATACTTTCCCATTGTAGAACAGTGAAATGTCGTTGAATTGATAAAACTGCTGCAATTTCTTGGTAGACTCTAGTACTTAGGCTACAAATACCGTTTGCAAAGTTCCGATCGGTTCGGTGCTTTTCATTTTCCGTTTTTCTTTTTCTATGCAACAACCAACACCAGGAACGACGGCGAGCAATGAAATGGATACTAACGCGGACACTTGTTGCCTTGGCAAGAACTTTGTCATCATGAGCTACACACCAAGATCGGCCGATGTGTACGCGTACAACCCAGCTCTACCACCAACCAATGTACCAATTGTATCTGGGGCGACCGCTTATGACTGCCCACAGAGCGGCAACACGTTCATATTGATATTCAACGAAGCACTTTACTATGGGAACCGGTTAGACCATTCATTGATCAACCCAAACCAAGTCCGCAAGTTCGGAATTCCCCTATGGGATAATCCGTTTGATGAGATGAGGAATATTGGCATCAAAAACAAGCCGATATTTGTTGCACTCAAGGCAAAGGGGACAAAGTTACTATTTGATTCAAGGCCCCCAACTGATCAAGAACTTGCAAATTGCCCCCACATTTATATGACAAGCAAAGTGCCTTGGAACCCAGGTACCGTACAACTTGGGAAAGTCTCAATTGTCCACAAAGACCCAATAGATGACCTAAGATCCAACGAAGCTGAATTGAGACAATTGGATCCAATCATGCAAGGAATGAACAAATGGCACACAGTACAGCAGACAATAGTCGATGGGGAGAGATTCTTCCAACAAGTTGGACGAATGGACAATGATGCACGATTTGCAGATGTACGTGTGAGGCCGTCCTTTGTATCCACGGAACAACACACCAAAGCAACGGCAGAAAACCTATCTGAACGACTAGGAATTGGTTTGCACAGAGCACGCGCCACCTTGAGATCAACACTACAAAGGGGAACACGATCCGCCATACTACCACTGGCAAGGAGGTGCATGTTCCTAAGACCAAGACTGAAAGGCAAGTTCTCAACCGACACAGCCTATTTCAACCACAAGTCGATACGAGGCAACATCGCAAGCCAGATCTATTTCCACAAGAGCGGTTTCTACAGTTGCCA